CTGGTTACTAACAAACACTTCAAATTTGAATTTTGAGATGAAAGTATAATTTTCTACTGCACCTTCGGCTGACAGTTAATTTAAAATAAGGCAGCAATTCTTTTTCTCAATAGAATATTAATTATTCTCATTATACCCATTGTTGAATAATAAGATATAAAGCTACGTGATTGAAAACTTCATTCGCTTCAGAACTAAACAAATATGAAATAACAAGTGGACATATTTCAAGCTCTTCAAAAATAGGCACCCATTTTCACGACCTGCCAGACGCGAAAGTAAAAAAACAAAAATAATTTAAAATAAAAACGCAATGTTGCCAACAAAAAATGGAAAAATAAAGCTAGAAAATAACTAAAGCGGAGAGAGAGAAAAAGATGAAAAGCAGAACAAAAAAAATCATAGTGATGCCAAGAACAAGATTCCTGGGCATCAGGATGAGCTGATGCAACTAATGTGAAAATAATTTTAGCATTATCGTAATTGAATTTAAGATTCCAAAAATGTGCAGCAATTGAAGATTTCTTGAATTCTTGACAACACGATAGATATGTTTGTTATTAAGAATTCGAGAAATCATCAATTGCTTCGTATTGTTGTAATCTTGGACATACATTCAATTTCAACAGTGCTATAACTATTTCACAGTTACATCAGCTCATCTTGATGCCATGGAATCTAGTTTTATTCATTTTCTTGCTGATTCTCTTGTTGTTGTTGTCTTGTCCAGTAGTGCAAGGAAAATTAAATTTGTCCAAAAGTATCTAAAACAGCTTTGGCCACATCAATAATCTCTATGGAATAGAGGAGTTGCTGCGGGGATCCAGATGGATCCTGAAGAGCTTCGCCAATATGGCTGGGCAATCAAAGACATGGTCGGGAGAGAGTTCGGTGTCGATGCAGTGAGGATAACTTCTGTAGCTACGATAGCCATCGGGAGATATTTTCATTCCCATGAAGTGTTTAGTCCTCGATCTAGCTATGGTTGTGGAAATGGCTCGATCACAGTTTAGGGCAGGGATGGAGTGCTTCTGAGAGGTAGCAGAAAGTAGTCTGCGGCTGGCTATCGCATCAGCAGCAGTTAGGGTTGGAAAGTTGGGAGTTATCTGGGACCTCCTTGGCCGGGATATCAGCTTTCTCATTAGCCGATTCTCTTAATGACAATAGTTCCTCCCCTTTTCTCCATAACGCCTCTCAGCCACTGTGATTTTCCTTGATTTTTTTTTCTCTCTCGCCTTCTGGGGTTTTTCTAGTTTTGTTTCTTACCTATATGTTTCCATATTTCGATGGCAGCTTTATTTATTTTTTTAATTTTAAATCATTTTTGTTTCTTTACTTTCGCATCAAGCAAGTATTGAAAATTGTCACATATTTCTTATGAGCTTGAAACATGTAAACTGTAATTTCATGACTGTTTACTTCTGAAGCAAATGATGATTTTAATTCTGCTTACAGCTTCAGTTTCTTGGGATTATTTAAGGCAGAAGAATAATTTAAAAATAATAATTTTACTCAGTTTTTTTTATAAACAAAGGCAAAATTATGTCTATTAAGTTTTTAAATACTTATTCATCTCCGTTAAGAAAATTGATATGCGTAAATTTTAAAAAACTAAAATGAATGTTCTGTATGAAGATACAATAATCCAGTTAAAAAGAATTTTTACAACTTACCAGAAGCATATGAGCTTTGAATGAACATTTAATCAGAATTAAAGACATTCCATACTACAAAATTGTATTTCGGGCTGCTCTTCATTAAAAAAAATTAATAAAGGAGATCCATTGTGATATTTTAAAAATGAATTTTTGCCTTTACGCACATAGAAAAGGCGTTTGATTAACTTTATATTCACGAAATGACTTCTTCCACTTATCAGCTATTTTGTTTTTAAATTTAACAGTATAAAAATAATTCTATCACCGTTTCACAAAGAATATCTTTTTTAAAAAATATTAATATAATAGTCTGTTTTTTTAGACATTTTCATTAAATATGCGACCATTTTGTTAAATTACTTAGAAAAAAATTCGTATGGCTACTAAAACACATACTGTTAAAATGCATATTATGTATGCTATTTAATTTTTAAGTGAAATGGTGGAAAAATTTGAGGGAGTTTGTTAGCGTTTTTTAATGTTTTCAGAGATTTGTATCATAGTCCAAACAGTTTAACAAAAAAAATTTATTAATTATTTTACATATTATATAAAACAAAAACGTCTGAAATAATAAAAAAATAAATCACAGTATTTTTTTATGTTAACAAAAAATTAATTATTAAGCCTAATTTTTTAGATACGATTTAATTGAAACGTTTATTTTTGAAACCAACACACTCCACATTTTTTAAATTAATTTTTTCAATTCCGGCTAGTTCATTTTTTAACTTTTTAGAGATTTAAAAATATTATCTAAATATTAAAAAAGAAATATTAAATAAGCATTTTAAAATCTATTTGTGTAATAATTTTTATTTATTTATTTTTTTACTGAAAAGACATACCTGCAGTTCAACCAGAAAGCCTAATGGTTTAGTGAATTTTTTTTTATCAAACCTTACCCAAACTACTTGGTTTTGTCAAAAGAATAAAATTCCAAATGATATTTAATCACGTAAAAGTTTAGAGTATTTTTGACGATAAAAGAACTTTCAAACAAGCATGAATCTCTGATTCCTTCAAAAACACAAATTAACTTCTCCAAGTTTCAAATTTTGATGGATTTGTTTGTTTTTTACTTTCTAATACAATTTTAGGAAATAGATTGGACAGGGATTTAAGCGAAACACTTTAATTCTAACATGTATCTTTATGAATATACCTCGATTAACTTAATAATAACTTAACTTAATATTGATTAATTAAATAAGCCTGCAATAACTTTATGGTGCTAAGTACTGTAAGTTCCATAGAAGAACTTAAAATTTAAATTCCAAATAAAATGGTTTTAATTTAATTATCATCAACTAATCTTGCAATAACAACCCATTTGAACAATTTGTTGAAAATTATGAGTAGGGGAGAGTGGGGTCAATTGTAACATTTTTTTACTTAACTATTTTTAACTAACAAAAAATCCAATATATTATTAATATTAATTGACAGACGTCCTATCCTCTATTAGAAAAAAAATCAATACCTTATTTTAAATGTTATTATATTAGTTATTAACAATTTTTGACAGTCGTGCACTTGTTACAATTGTCCCCACTTACGGGGTCAATTGTAACAGTTCATAAATTCAACTAAAACATAGTTAATTATACATATTATCATAGTTGTGATATATTTTTTTATTGATCAAAATAGTAGTGATATTTTAGGAGTAAAAATAATAATGAGCAGAGACCTAAAGGGTTAAACTTTTAACTTTAAGGGGTTAAAAATTTTAATTTATGCTGTGAAAGGTGACAAATAAAATAATGCACATGCAACATAATATAAATGATATAGGAAACTATTGGTGGTTCTTAAAGAGTTAAGTAATGGTTTGTAAACATAAGATTATTTATTTTCAGCTGTTACAATCGTCCCTTTACTTATTGTTACAATTGTCCCCAAGACGCCATTTCAGCTTCATTTGTTAAAAACAATGCTAGTTAATTAGCAAAACTAATCTTTTTTTTTATTGAAATGTTAATTAAGGTGTCCACTTACATATTCGGTTAATAATTTTTATTTGTTTTAACAAAATTACTTTGTTACAATATAATATTCTAATACCAAAAAAAGTACTTATGTAGCGTGAAAATATCTGCTGTGATGTAACTTTCTCAAAAGTACATAAAAATGGTTGCCAGTAGGGGTGTACATGTAGATTTATTAAATACACCTTGTGCGCCACCTAGGAACTAAATCTAGAACCCGACACTCGAAATTTTTGCTCTGTTACAATCGTACCCTGTTACAATTGACCCCACTCTCCCCTATAGTTTGCAAATTTTGGGTCACTTCTCTTTGATTCGTCTACTCAGAGGAATAAATCCCACGGTAAATCCCTTTTCAGTTTTTTTTCCTTCATCGTGACTCCTTTTAAAACACAGTTTAAATTTCTTTGCCCTGAGTTTATATAGTCTTATCACCCTACTGCATATAATTACACAGTCAGAACCTCAATGATCCACATGAATACTTCTTTACTTCATTTGCATTCCACAACCTCATCGAAGCACCACAAAAATCACATCAGGTGCCCAGATATTTTATACAGTTTAAGTTTGCCCTGAGTTTGTTGATCATGGCTTTTGAACCTTTAGACTCTACGTTCAACTTTATTGATTCTCTGGTCATGGAATATTCCATTTGCTTGAATGGCAATCGGTGGCCTCGATGCTGTGGTTGAACTATAATTTCAATGGGGTTTTGGTTTGGATTACCCTAAATCCGAGAATGGAGATTAGACCCAAACTGCGTCAAACGAATTTTTGTACCAAATGTAAGAAGAAATGTTGAGCCAATTCAAGTAAGCAATTCGCTGTGGAAGAGTAAAAACAACAAATAAAACTATACTTGATTTATGAAATTGAGACGCTTGGGGTGGGTGAGCCATATAGAAAGAATGAAAGAAAAAAAATGGTTTAAGAAAAATCTTAATAAGAAACTGTTGGAAAAGGGATATTTAGACGAAGAAAGAAAAAATATCTGACCTTAATGAAAATTTCTAACTATTGATTCAAAACTACAGGTAGAAAGATTTTGAATAAAATTGTTTAGCAAGAAAATGCCCTCTTTGAGTTTTAGCGCTATAAACAAAAATATCTAAATTATCAATAAGGAAGGAAAGTAGATAAGCGTGTATTTACATTGTTGCAAGTTTTGATTTTAAATAAATAATAAATGAAATGTAACTACATTTTATTTGAAATGTTTAAGTTTTAAGCTCTTGGGAAGAAACCTTATTTGTTAGTAATTGTACAATACATAAACTTTTCTAACATGCATTTCTTATATTGTAATAGCTCTATACCACCTTTTATTTTACCATAAAATCAGACTAACCCGTCCTCTTCCTTTGAGTAGTTCTTTGTAAACCACTGAGAGCACTCAGAAACACTGAATAAGAAACTGATGTGGGGTATGAGTTAGCTAATCCCTCGTCTTCCTCGTTCATCGAAGACAACAGCCTCTTATGTTTATTCTCGAATAGAAGAGAAGACATAGCTTGAGCAAACAAAGCGCACACCATTGCTCCTGTGAACCAACACCGTCTTCGCATACCTACAAAAAAGAATTAAAAAAAGGAAAGATGATATATCTCAGATAGCTTTTCTTTGACCATTTTAGTTCCTAAGTCTCATATGAATTATTTCCCACAAAATTAAATTTCAAAATTATTCTATATTAATTCTGAATTTCCTAATTTGAATAATTTCCTTAATATAAATTCCTCATATGAGTTATTTCCCATAAAATTAAACTTCAAAATTATTCTATATTTATTCTTAATTTCCCAATTTGAATAATTTCCTTATTATAAATTCCTCATATGAATTATTTCCCTTAAAATTAAACTTCAAAATTATTCTATATTAATTCCAAATTTCTAAATTTGAACAATTTCCTTAATATAAGTTCTTCATATGAATTATTTCCCATAAATTAAACTTCAAAATTATTCTATATTAATTCTAAATTTCCTAATTTAATGTACTTCAGTGAAAAAAGTTTTTATTGTTGAAATTATTAATTGCATTCTGTGGGCTTATGTTTTTGGAGGGATTAAATGATTTTTTCTTCCTTATCTGAAAATGTATGGTTTAATGAGTGGATTCTCTAACATAGAAAATTTAACTTCTATTCAATATGCATTTCAGAATCAGTTAACTTAGTTATTTTTGAGTTTGCAGCTCTACGTAGCGAGTTTTTTAATGATCTTTTTTCTTTAAAGCACAGTTTTTAACTAGCGCATGCAACTTTCCGGGTTGTATTATTTCGATTAATGCTTTTCTGACTAGAATTCTGAACGTTGCAACCATTAATAACCTGAATTATGTTGACCATTGGCCATTGCCCATTGACCATCTTGACCATTGAAGAAAATCACGAAAATAATCGAAATTGAGTAATTCTAGTTCAAATTATAGCTATTTATTCGTCCTTAAAGTAAGAAACTTGTTTTTAAGTCATGTAATGGGGTGGCATGCTGATTAAAAAAATCTTGTTTCCTTCCAAAAGATAATTTGCACCATTTTATTATTTTATTGAGTTCCTATTAAAACCCTAACGTACTGCGAAACGCCTTAATTTAACGCATTTAATAAAACTCATTGTGTTTACTTATTGTTTTCGAAAGAAATCGATTTCAAATAAGGTAATTAAGGAAAACTGAAGTTTTTCAATTTTTAAAAGGGATTGTTGTCAATTAATTAAATTAGTAATAGCCAAGTGAAAATTTAAAGAATAAATGAAAAAAATCTAAACACCACTTTTTCGATTTGAAAACACATTTTTGGCTGTAAGCACGCATAAAAAATTATATGGTTTATAATTTACAGTTTATAGCATATAAAGGGGAAAACAATGTAGTATTTACAGAGATATAGTTGATTTCAATGTATAATGTTATTTTTAGCATGGGGAAAAATTCAGTTTAGCTAAGTTGCATATTTGAGTAAAAACTTTAAAGCCAGCATATACATCAAGAATTATTATAAGTAGCTTTCAAGGAGAAGTTAAATTGAGTTAGAAAATATTCAAAATAATCATAAGAAAAAGAAGTTCATCTATCCAATGAAAATATTATCATACGCAAAAATTATCTCAAATCATTCACCTAAGTCAACAGTTCATTTCAAAACGGCATGTTATTCTATGAAGTAAATCAAATAATTACTTCTTAATTTGTGTGTATTCAGACCAAGTCCCAGTTTCTTAAGAATCAATCGTAACTTATTCGCACTATCAAAAGAGATCAAACTGTTTCGCATGAGTAAAGTAAAACTTTGAAATAAAGAAAGGTAAAGTTAATAAACCAAGTGTTTATGGCATGCATTTAATTGTTGTCAACTTTTTTGCGAATCGCAAAGTTATTTCTAAGTATTAATTAAGTTATTTCTCATTATTAAAGTAATTTGGTTTCCTGATTTATTTAACGAGCTACTGCTAATATAACTCTCTCTCTGTGTGTATATATATATATACACATATATA